CACAGTTTCCATATTCATTACATATTCTCCCTTACTTAAGACATAGACATTACTTTGCTTTACATAGTCATACCCTCTATTGCAAGTCCTTAGTTGGTCCTTTGGGGTCTTCTTCAGGGTTCTCTGGTGGGTTCTTTTGGCATCTGGTGCTCCCCAAAGTTGAGGTGTCCACTTCTTCACCTCGGTTCTGAGCAGACACAGTGTCATTACCTTTCACCACAAAGACTGGAACATTTGGGTTTGATCTTCTCTGGGCCCACAGAGCTCAGCTTCCATCCTGTTTGCTTAGTTACATCCCTGATCGAATTCTCTACGACCTCTCCAAGATTCTAGTTTTCCTTCCTTGGCCATAGAGAAATGTTGGGAGCAGTCTCCTATATCCCACATCGAATCCCCCCTTTTTTTCACACTAAGCTCCTGAAGGGATAGAGTGTCTTAGGAGCTTTATTTCATTTTACAGCTCGAGGCATTAGAACAGCTACAGCACTGAATCATGATGCAAGCTAAAATACAAAGGCCCTTCCAGCTTTGGGGCAACCCTTCACAGGTGTTATTTCCACACAGCCAATCCCACCCCGTTCCACTGGGGACTGACCAAGGATCAGTCATTTCCCCAGCAGGAAGGGTTTGAGGACATTGGGTGTGATTTCCCCCAAATGTGCCACTCTCATTAACACAATCCACTTTTCCTGTTCCTTTATTGAGGGTCACAGCTTTGTACACAGGCAGGATTGTCAGAGATGGTGGGGGGTACTTGCACACTAACTGCTAGGTCTACTTTGTGGGAAACACAAGTGCTCACTCAAGTGACCAGGAATCATTTCTTCCAGAATAGAGAAGGCAGAAATGGTGAATGGCTTCATTGTCTTTTCAGGTAAACGAGTGCACACCCAACAATCCCTTGGAGGCAACACTTGGCTCACATTGGATACTAAAAGGAGATGTAAAAACAGACTTAAGCATTTTGTTTCTTCTCAGACAATCTCTCAATTACCCAAGGGGCTCTGGGCTTTTGAATTCTGCAATAATGCATCCATGATTTGACTTGTTGTACCACTTCTACAATCAAGTGGGAACCTCTGTCTGATGACATTCCCAAATGTACCTCGAATCAAGGGATTCTTGGATTCAACAGTATTCCACTCACTTCCCTAGCCCAGCTGGTGTGACAAGGAAAAGCCTCTGGCCACCCAGAGAAGGTATCCCCCAAGACTAGGAGATCTTTACATCCCCTTTATCTGGGCAATTCAGTAAAATCCATCTGCCAACATTCACCTGGAACATTTCCACAATTTACATCACCTATTCCCACTGCATTGGCAGGGTTTGGATAATTTCTCTCATACACACCACACTGCTGACTCACTGCTTGTACAACTGGGGTCAGTTTTGCACCTCTAACCCACTTGTGCAAATGTTACAGTACAGAAATAAATACAAACACAAAACAATGATCAGTGGATAAAACAAAGCCAGACACCAAATTGGGGAATACCAAATAACCCACCCAAAGCACTGGAAGATCCACATGTCTTAGATGGACAGGATTCCCCAAAAGAATGCCTTATTATCCAGTGGGATCTTCCCCCATCCCAGACCAGTCCGGGGATCTGTGGTCTTCTCCAGGAAAGTCCTGGGGCTGGCGTGAAGATCCAGAGATCCCTCGGATCCACTGGAGATCAGGCAGAGGGTCCCACCTGGGGGCCAGAAATGCCACCCAAAAGCAGCAGAACCCAAGCCCTTCACCCCAGTTTGGGGTGTTAAGAAGCAGGCATTCTTTAGGGCAGTGTGCTGGATGCCTGCAGGAGAGTTCTTCTAATCCAGCCTGCTCAGGGACACAGGCAGGGGTTTGGATTACACACATGGATTCCAGAGTCATTGGATATTCCCCCCTTACTTAACACATGTCCATTACTTTGCTTTACACAGTCACATCCCCTATTGCAAGTACCTATTTGGTCATTTGGGGTCTTCTTTGGGGGTCTCTGGTGGGTTTTTTGGCATCTGGTGCCCCCCAAAGCTGAGGTGTCCCCTTCTTGACCTCGGTTCTCAGCATCACTGGTTTTCCCCACGGAGACCGTCATGTTTGGTTTGATCTTCTCTGGGTCCCCAGAGCTCAGCTCACATCGTGTTTGCTTGAGTTACAGCCCTGATCCAATTCTCCAGGACTTCTCTGAGATTCTATTGTTCCTTATTTGGCCAGAGCAGAATCTTGGGAGCAATGTTCTACTTCTCCCAAACCAAGGCTCACCCTGCCCCATCTCCTGCCAAACAAGGCCAGACATCCACTGCCATGGCCTTGACCACTCTCTAGATACAGAAAGATAAAGACCAGATTTTTCTTACAATCAGACATATTTTGTTAATGAACAGATACAAACAGGATTCACTAATGAGCCCAGACTAATAGATCTGACTAATAAGCACCCCTGTTTTGTTCAGGAGCAGATACACAGGTGGAGTCTCATCACACATTTTTACCAACAAACAGACACAGTTTTAGCTCAGGAGCGGATACATGGAGACACAGCCCATTAGGTTGGAAGGTTCATCTAGAGGTCAGCTTTGGCTCAGGGGTTGTTGTTCAGCCTCAGCCCTTCAGGGACAGCCACACAGGGCTTTACATTACACACACTGTTTCCATATTCATTACAGAGTCTTGCTTACTTAATACATACACTTGTAGGCAACACTTGGATCACATTTGGCACAAAAAAAGATGTAAATTTTCCTCCCATGTCAACAGTGTTGTCAGAACTGTTGTCAGAAGAGCAAAACAAGAGTGAAGCATTTTGTTTCTGCAATCAAGTGGGAACCTCTGTCTGATGACATTCCCAAAGGCATCCCAAATACAGGGAGGATTGCATTGAACAGGATTGCAGTCTTTTTCCCAACCTGCTTAGTGCAACAGGGAAAAGCCTCTGGCCACCCAGAGAAGGTATCCCCCAAGACTAGGAGATCTTTACACCCCCCTTGTCTGGGCAATTCAGTCAAATCCATCTGCCAACATTCACCTGGAACATTTCTACACTTTACATCACCTATTCCCACTCCACTGGCAGGGTTTGGATTATTTCTCTTCCATACATCACACTGCTGACTCATTGCTTGTACAATTTGGGTCAGTTTTGGACCTAGAACCCACTTGTGCAAATGTTTCAATAATTTGCTTCACTCCAAGGAATACCCTCATGTTCCCCATCCACCAGGTCACAGGAGATTGGTTCAGGGACTTTTATTTGCCCACTTGGGGTAACTGCCCAGCCTCCTGCAGCAAATTTTGCTCCTAAGCTTTCAAAAAGTTGACAGTCCTTAGCACTGGACTAATTTTTTTCTACTGGGAAAAGGATCTCTGTCAGGATCTCTGACCTGGTGGTGGGGAGTTCCTGTGCATCCAGAGAATTGTTTTCCATGCCGGACAAAGCTGCCCCCACTGGCAAACAATTCCCAACCAGGAATTTCCCAGGGGCTGTCTCCTGAGTCAGCTCTGCCCGAATACACTTCTCCTCTAGTCAGGAAGCAATCACGCTCTGGGCTTCCTTTGCTGGGGCTGGGGGAGTTGACAGGTTACTTCTTTCGTTCCTGGCCCAGCCTCCCTTGTCCTTGGAGAATTCCAAAGCCCAGGGAGGCTCCTGGGGTCTGGACTACTTGCACTTTGTGTTTGGGATACCCCATATCCACTCAGTCCAAGGAAATTCCACAGTGTCACAGTCTGACCCCAACATTGCTGCTCAGCATCAGTGGCTATCAAAATATCATCCACAGGCTGGAATAAGGCTCCAAGAGGGTTTTGACTTCTCCATTCCTCCAGTCCCTTTGCCAATTGAGTTCCAAATATTGGAGGGCTATTTTTAAACCCCTGCAAGAGGACCACCAAAGTCAGCTGGGTTTTCCTCCCTGTCTTTGGATTTTCCCATTGGAAAGCAAAAAGCTCTTGACTTTCACAACTCAAACAGATACAGAAAAAGGCAGCTTTCAAATCTAATCCTGTGAAATATATTAAACTCTCATTTAGAGGAGTTAGCAAAGTGTAAGGATTTGCTATGACTGCTTGTATATCTTCTACTCTATTCTTTATAGCTCAAAGGTCTTGGACTAACAGGCATAGCCTTCCATTTGCCTGTCTGACTGGCAATATTGGAGCATTCCATTTAGATTCACATTCTTTTCACAAGCAAAATTTCATCAATTTTTCTACAAAGGGTGAGAATCCTTCTATTTTCAAAGATATTGCTTTGGCCTTACCAACCCCAATCCAGGTTTCACTGGAATTCTCACGGCTTCTGCTCTTTTGGATCATGGAGGCACCTCTCCAGCCCATCCTGTTGGAATCACTGCATCCCCAAGTGATATTGGCAGATGGATTACTTCTGGGTTTGGAGACTGTCATGCAAAACTAGAAACTTCCACAGAATTAGGCTCTGCAATAATAACCTATATTTGACCATTTTTAAATTGGATTGTGGCATTTCATTTTTCCAAGACATCTCTCCCAAGCAGAAGCTTTGGGGAATTGGGGAAATACAAAAACTGGGGAGCCAACCACTATTTTCCCAATTTAAAAGCCACAGGATTAAAAATGGCCCAGTTTCCCAATTCCCTGGCACACCAGACAATTGTTCTAGAATTGTTCCTTGAGTTTCATTTTCCTGGATTTAACACAGAGGAACAAGTTCCCATAGCCACAAACAATTGTACTCAGTTTGGCTGGAACCAGATGTTCTGATGGGGAAGAATCCTCTGGTGCCCCCTCAGTCGTCTTCAGTGATGCCAGGAGAGGGTTCGGAGGGTTCTGAAGTTTCAGTTGCGGACAATCCCATTTCCAGTGTCCATCTTTCTTACAGGATGCACAGGGATTGATCCCAAGTCTCCTGGGGGGGATGTTTGAAGCAGGCTGCCCATGCTCTCATCCTCTTCCTCTCCCCGGGGGCACCATTTCCTCAGGGATTTCTTCCAGAACTGCAACTCCTTTCTGCTTAGTTGATTCCCACTGATTCTCCCAACCTCCAACAATGTCCCGAAATTAGACTGATCTTGTCCCTCAGCTTGATTTTCCTTTCTGGGCTCACACCAAGGGCTCTGAGGGCGCTGCATTCACACCACAATCTTTCTGCCATTTCACAGGGTTCTGCAAAGTGAAAAACACATCACCAGACACAACCTCCTTCCACTTCTGTTCCTGCTCTAAAACAGCATCAACTGTAACAATGGATTCTAATTCAATGTTCCAGAACAGCCACCCATTGATTCCAACACTTCATTAAATTCTCCCTGGGAGCTGTTCCTCCGGGGTGGCTGCCAATCTTCATCCAATATTGCAAAATGCAACCAAGGGGGGACTTCTTCAAAATTCCCCCTTCAGATTGCCCACTTCCCATCTCTAAACAGTTGACCCAAAATGTTACAATACAGAAACAAATACAAGTACAGAACAATAGTGATTGATAAAACAAAGCCAAATACCAAATTCCAGAATACCAAAGAACCCACCCAAAGTGCTGGAAGATCCACAGGTCTCAGATGAGCAGGATTCCCAAAATACCAAAGAACCCACCCAGGGCACTGAAAGATCCATACGTTTGACATGGGCAGGATTCCCATAAAGAAGGTCTTATTATCCAATGGGATCTTACCTGTGTCCCAGACTGGGCTGGGGATCTGTGCTCTTCTGCAGCAAAGTCCTGGTGCTGGCGTGAAGATCCAGAGATCCCTCGGATCCACGGGAGATCAGGCAGAGGTGTCCTGTCTGGGGGGCCAAAAATTATACTGAAAAGCAGCAGAAACAAACTTCTTCACCCCAATTTGGAGATGTTAAAAAGGGCATTCTTCTTTATTCAGCATGCTGGGCATTCAGAGGAAAGCTCCTCTAATCCAACGTGCCAAAGGACAGACAGGGATTTTTATTACACACACTGTTTACATGTGCATTCGATAGTCTTGCTCACTTAATACATATTTATTACTTTGCTTTACATAGTCACACCCCTATTGGAAGTCCTTTTCTGGTCCTTCCGGACCTTCTCTGTCATCTTGACCTCAGTTCTTGAGCAGCACAGCATCATTGTGTTTCACCACCAAAAATAAAGTTTGTTCTTTATTTTATCTGGGTACACAGAACTTAGTTTACATCCTGCCTGTTTGGGACATCCCTTATCTAAATCTCTAGGACTTCTCCAGGATTACATTGTTCCTCATTTGGGCACTCCGGGGGACTGTGAATACAGTTTCTATTTTTTCTCTCAACGGTTTGATGGAAACCATGAGGAGCTGGGAACTCATTGCAGGGACAAGAGGGAGAAGTTGGGAAGTAATAGGCAGGTGGGGGAGAGAACTGTTCAGAGAACAGTTGAGATGTAGCTCGAGCAAGCTGAGAACTAAACTGTCCTTTGGGGTCACCCCAGATCGACTGGATTTCAGAAATTACTCAACACAGGTGCCACCTCCTCCAGCCAAGCCCAGGAGATCAACCTCCTCAGCAGCTGCAAGAGTGGGATGTTCCTGTGCCTGCTGCCATCTCCCTAAAGCCATTATCCCACTCCTGCTGAGAAGATGGGCAAGAGAAGCATCTACCTCACAAGATCTGCTGCCGGAAGAAGAGTGTGTCCCAAAGGATGTCCTCAGCCTTCTCAGAGGGGACATCAGATCCACTCCATGGATGGTCCCAGCCCTTCCCAATACAGACCAGGCACCAGCTCCAACTCTTCCCTTGAAAACAAACAACAAATTCATGACAAGAGATTACAAACCAAAAGTGGAAACAAGACAAAAAAGTAAAATGTTAACATTCTGTCAGGGTTCTGAGGAAGGCCCAACCCCTCCACGCCAAAGAAAAACCCCACCTCCTCCAGCTCAGGAAAACCCAGGCCTTCTCCCTGCCCTGCTGCATTGGCCCAAAGAAAGGCTCCTAAGCCAAGGCAGCCCAAGCCTTTCCTGGCCTGCAGAGCAAAGCAGCTGGTGTTCTGCAGCCCCGCCTTTGCTCCCCCCACAGGGGTTTGTTTTTGGCAGGCTGGCTGCCCCTGCCCCAGCCCCGCCCAGCAAAGGGGCAGTGGCGGAGGCTGGTGGCAGAGCCGGGCTCCCATTTCACACCCAGCCCAGAGCACCCACCCACCCTCCTGCCAAGAAGCAGCTTGGAGCCGGCTGAAGAATTCCTCAGGTTCCCCGCCAGCAAAGGGGGGAACCTTCGGTGCCCAGCCAGGCTGAGCAATGCCCGCGTCCGGGAGCACCCCCTGGGTATGGACTCATCTGCAAACGGTGTGTGGAGCACGTCTTGGAGGAAGGGGCCACAATCAAAGTCCATCTTCTTCAGCTCCCCAGTGTCCAGCTCAGCTAAGAGCTTGTCATCCTTGACGTCGTCTTCGATGTCTCCAGCAGCAGGCCCACCCGGCACAGCTTCTCCAGAGGCCCCTTCTCCTTCCCTGGGGGCCAGACCAGGCTGTCAGCATTCTGCCGAGGGCCCCAGCTGTCTGTGAAGCGGGACGAGCAAAACCAGGTTGGATGGTGGCCACCAGCACTTGGAAGACCGGGTCTGCAGCCCAGCTCCAGCACAAAGAGGGGCGTGTTCCCATGTGATGATCCCCCCTCAGTGCTACAGGCATGACAAAAAAGTCTGGTTTTCTTTGCTTCTATTGCCAAGAGATGTGTGGAGGTGTTACTTGCCAGGCTCCTGGATCAAAGTGAGCACGTGGATCTCTCCAGTCTTCTAGGGCAGGTGAATGCCCTGCACCCAAGGATGGCACAAAAGGTCTTCCAATGATGGCCTGTCCGAGGGGCGGATGGACAAACACCACCTGATAAGGTGCTGGCAGCCTGGGGGGAAAATGGTTGGTCAGTTGGAGAAGGATCCTGTCCCCTCTGTCCCACTGTCCACGTGCCCAGGCTGTGCTGGCTGTTCTCAGAGCTGTGCCCAAACTTCTCCATCGATTCTCCAGTTTGGAGGAGAGCAGGATGGCAGGACACAGGCTGTAGGGAACATGTCCCAAGGTGCAACAGGTAGGCACCGAAGCTAGGGGACATGCGCAGAGCCAGACACTCCTATTGGTTAAGTCACGTGGGATCAAGGTATAAAAAGGCGCGCGTTGTTTGAATAAACCTCTTTGTTTACCATCTCAAGAGAGCGTGCCATGATTTCTTTATTATATAAAGGCAGCATGCCATGTGCATGCAACAACAGGCCACCTCCTCCAGCCAACCATGGAACACAAACAGCTTCAAGAGCAGCGTCCTCATGAGCCCGCTGCCGTCTCCCAACACCGTTATTCCCCCCATGCCACAAAGATTGGTATCCACCTTGAGAGGGTGGGAACGGGAGCTGGTCCCAGATGGTGTCGGTGCCTTTGCAGAATGGGTGCTTCCCGCAGACCATCTGGTAGAGCAGGATGCCCAGGGACCAGATCGTTGCCGCCTCGCCGTGGTATCGTTTGAGGTAGATCCACTCTGGCGGGCTGTATGACAGTGTTCCTACGGAATACAGACGCAGTTCATCAGGTGGATGCTGCCTGTTCCCAGAGCCTCACCCCAGCATCCCTGGCAATGTGGGGCCTGCCCCAGTGGCACACGCTGTGACCCACTGCCTTCTCGCTGGCCCCTCACTCTTGGTTACAAACTTTGGGGTGTACAAGAAACCGCTGGTGTCCAAGAGGGCAGCGGAAGCCCTGGCAAGGCCCAACCATTACATGCAAGGGAAAAACCCACCCAGTGGTGGGGAAAAGCCATGCCTTCTCCCTGCCCCACTGCACTGCCCCCAACAATTCACCATAAGCCAAGGCAAACAAGGCAAGCAGAGCAGCCCAAGCCCTTCCTCGCCTGCACACCAAGCCAGCTGGTGCACAGTTCTGACCCCCTTCTCTGCTACCCTCACGGGGGTTTTGGTCAGGCTGGCTCCCCCCTGCCCCAGACCCAGCCCGGGACAGGGTGGGTGGCACAGGTTGTCGGCAAGGCCGGGGCCTGTCTCGCAATAACCCCCCCAGCCCCATCCAAAAGCAATTTGGCTGAAGAACTAATCCTGTTCCCCCTCAGCCAAAGGGGCAATCTCCGGTGCCACACCCAGGCATGGCCATGCAATGCCCAGCACCAGGAGCATCCCCCGGCTGTGGGCTCACCTGCAAACTGGGTGTAGACCACGTCCTGAAGGAAGGTGCCACATCCAAAGTCAAGGAGCTTGGCCTCGCCGGTGGCCATGTGGAGGAGGATGTTCTGGGGCTTGATGTCCCGGTGCAGGACGCCGCAGCTGGTGCAGTGCCGCGCGGCCTTCAGCACCTGGCAGAACAGACCCCACACCATCTCCTCCGGCAGGAACCCCCACGCCGTGATTAAGCGTGAGAGGTCCTGAGATGGCTCCGGATGCTCCATCACCAACAAGAATCCGTTGGGGAGCTCAAACCACTCCAGGAGCTGGATGACACCAGGAAAGCCATTGGACACCTTGTCCAGCAGCACGATCTCCAGGGGTGCCTGGGTGCCATCAGGCTGCGGGGGGACCACGGGGTCGTCAGTGGGGCTGATGCTGTGCCTGTCTGCCTGCTCCCCCTCCGCCAGCCCTGGATGCTCCCCGTCCCCCACTGAGCCCACGCCCACTCTCCCTCCAGGGGTCCCGGCGGCTTCCACCCTCCCGGGTCTCGGCTCGTCCCCGCCCGTCCCGCCCCACTTTCTCCCGCTGGCCCCGCTCACTCACCAGCTCGCCCCACCACCGGATGCCATCCCGGGACACGGCTTTGATGGCCACCTGCAAGCCAAGGGGAACGGCGGGTTGAGCTCGCCGCCCGCCCCACTCTCCTCCCTCTCCTCCTCCTCCTCCCTCTCTTCCCCCCACTCCTCCTGCTCCTCCTCCACTCACCGGGGCTCCGTCCGCCAGGCAGGTCCCCGCGTAGACGCGGCCGAAGCCGCCGCTGCCCAGCAGCGAATCCACCCGGTAGCGCTCGTGCAGCGGCTCCTTGGCCTTCCGTGCGGGCGAGACGTGGCCGTGAGCGTTCGGGCCGGGGCCCGGCACGGCCCCCGAGCGCCCCTCAAGCGGCCCGGGCCGGGCTTCCCCAGCCGCAGCGGGCAGCGGCGGCTCGCTGACGGCGGCCGGGCTGGCGAGCGGTGGAGCTCTGGCCAGGGAAGCCGCCGAGGAGGCGGCAGCGGCCGCGGCGCCCGCGTCCCCCGCCGGCCCCGGCAGGCGCCGGGCTCGAGCCAGGCGGAGCCAAGGGGCGGCGAGGCCGAGCCCGTCCCACAGCCAGCCCCACAGGAGCGCCCAGCAGCGCCACAGCCGGCGCGCCGGGAGCCGGGCGAGGGCGAGACCGCGCCGGGCCGCCCAGGGCCGGGGCCGGAGCAGCCCTGCCCGGCAGAGGGGAACGGCCGGGGCCATGGTCCGGGCCGGCAAGTGGAGGGGGAGACCGGGAACGGAACAGGGACACAGGCGCAGGGACACTGGGACAGGAACACCGGGACAGGGACATCGGGACAGCGGGACACCGGGACAGCGGGACACTGGGAGAGGGAGAGGAGGAAAAGGCAAGACGAAGAGTAATAGCGAGAGCACGTCGCTAGAGTCGCTGCTGCCGCTGCTGCTGCCGCTGCTGCTGCAACTGCTGCTGCAACTGCTGCTGCAACTGCTGCTGCAACTGCTGCTGCTGCCGAAGTGCCGGGGCCGTTTGTCCGTTCCCCGTTGGCCCCCACGCGCCCCGGGGGCAGCCCCGGCCGCTCCGCTCCCAACCAGCCCCGACCACAGTCACGGAGCTCCCCTTCCTCCCGCCCCCACGCCAAGACCTCGGGCTTTATTAGCTGCTTCGCTTTAGTTGAACTTTGCTGGCAAGTTTGCAACTTCCCGCCGCTGCTCGGACCCCATCCCGCCCGCTCGGCCCGCGCTGCTGTCGCTTCCTCCCAGGCCAGCCGGGCTCTGGACTTGCCCCTGAAGTTTGGGAAGGTGTTTGCTCAGTGAGGAGCCCCGGGAGGTCCGGCCAGCGCCAGGCAGAGCCAGCCCCGGGGGAGGGCAGAGCAGGAGGATCGGCAGGGGAAATGCAGCCCTTTGGGGTCAGCGCTGCTCCCCGACCACACCAGGGCTGGTCCTGTTTTCCTGCCCAGTTCGAGGGAAAATTGGTGACTGCAGAGAGGATTAAGAAGAAGAGAATTAGAAGACTATTCTTGCTGCCGTTTGGATGCCAGTCCATCCCAATAAATGCAGGCTTAATTTGGAAAGGACACGATGTAGCAGCTTTTTCAGCACCCAGTATTTAACAGCTACCTTTCAGGGGACAATGGGAAAAGGGGGGG